CCATCTTTTGGTGTCCCCATGGAAGCAGGCAAAGGGACCCTCAAACCACGCTGCCGCCAGCCTGGAGCCGCAGCAGGGCCCTGCTTTCCTGAGGAAATCCACGTTCACCCCAGGAACTCTGATCGCCAGATTTCAGGCTTCGGGGCTGAGATAGTTTTCCTTGAAGCAGATAGAGGCAGTCTCCACGGGAGCTATTGTTTCTGGCTGGATGCGGATTTGGGATTTACATCTGGTTCTCATTTTCTCTTTACAACCACAGGGATTTTTTTTTTTTTTTTTTTTTTTTTTTTAAAGACAATGAATTTCTGGATGATGCAGTGGAAGAAACAGCCACCAGGAGAGCACGCTGGTTTGCCAAAGCCCCACAATACTCCCCAGTAGGACTGCGGTGCACACAGCGGGGAGATGCAGCGGTCTTTGTGCTCGCAGTGCTGCCCAGCCAGGTGTTTATTTGGGGGAGAAAATCACCGAGTGCAATCCAGAGCATTTCTTCTGCTTTCCCACCGAGGAGCCCACAGGCACAAGAATAACATTTCCATCGCTCTGGCTACTCAACAGTTTATAAATTCAAGCTGCAAAACTTTTAGTAAGCACCACCTCTAAAGGTTACTTCTGTCCGTCCTTTATTTTCAGGGAGAAGAGACCAAAGCACACTCCCCTGAATATAAAACGATTGCAAAATACCGGTCTGGAGTCAAAACCTTCATTCCCCTCCCTTTGCTCAACACTCCTCTGCCTCAGGGGACACAGTATTAGTCCCATACCTCCGAGGTGCCAAGTTTCTGTAGGAGACGGCAGCCTCTGTCAATCGGATCAGGGCAATCCCCTTCCCACGGCTGAACAAGAGCTGGTTTCCAAATTACTGGTGTCCTGACTTAAAAATAAATCAACCTGGCAATTAGAGGGGAAAGGCTCCACATCCCGTTATCCCCCAGTCTTTCCTTTCCAAATTTCACTGCTGAAACACTCCCTAAAAGATTACAGCCCCGGCTGGAGGGGGGCTGTGAAGTTTTCTTCTGGTTTCACTAACACATCTGCCAGAAGGACACATCAAGAATATTATTTCCAGGGTCTCTTCAAAGCTACATCGCAACATCTGCCACAGCACCCTGCTGTCCCCGTGCTCGCCAAACTGATTTAAAAAAGAATAAAGAATCAAAAGGAATAAATAAATAAAAATAAAAGATGGTTCTGTACTGGAGCACAAGCTGATCTGAGTGTATCGAATGGGCTGTTGCACCTCTCTCTGCCCCAAACAGTACAGCAGTGAAAAAATTAATAGCTGGATCACCGCCCTGCCAGTATTTCGAGTGCATGAGACCCTAAAAACTTCCTCAGCTTTTTTGTTTTTACACAAAATACACAAAAACAAGCACCACGTCCATTACGCTGCAAGAGGAGAATCTGACAATACACAACCACTCCAGCAATACATCACTGCACCTGGACCGAAATATTCGGTTACACAACGGCTAATCACGGGCAGGAGATAAGCTCAGAGATAAAAATAGGGAGAAAGACACGGAGACCTTGCAGCAGTTAATCGGCGTGATAGGGCTGTCAGCTGCCCATAAAGAGCAGCACTTGGACAAGCTTTGAACTTCCCTCCAACGAGCCCCTTGAAACAATAAACCCTACCCCTGGGGTGCTTTCGCTTTTTTGGTTTTTTTATTTTCAGGTCATTCATTAAACTGCTGGGTACCCGCTGAGCCCAAAACCACGGAGGAATCCAATCCCAAGCAGGGAGAGGCTCGATGTGCCCTGAGTGTCACCTGCTGCAGGCACCCTGACAAAATCAGCCTGGCAGCAACCCCTCGCAGTGTCACAGGTCCTGGGGGACTTCACAAACGTGTCCAAGCAGGGTCTGTCCTGCAGGATGGCTTCACACAGAGCACTCAGAGTGGTTAACCCATTAACAGGGTCACTGGGGTTTCAAATGGTCCTTGGGATCACCAGAAGACACAAAACCATAATGGGGCTGCAGAGCTGCCAGTCTGAGAGAGGAGGCAGTGCTGATCTGGGGGGGGTGATGGGGATCATTTGTTCTTGTTACCTGGTTCATGAAAATAAAACCTATTCTGCTTTCTCCTCTGCCTTTTCCACAGGGCCTCGTGCTGCTCCTTTCATCCCTTGCACGATGAAAGCCAAAAAATATCACTTTGGAGACACGCTCTGAACAGCAGCTATTCAGGGCTCAGCCTCGCTCCGGCTGTTAATTAGGAAAGCAAACAAAAAATTATAATTTAAGCTTTCACTGCGTATTTGGCTTTCGGATCTCCTCTAGAGAATACCGCCCAGCTACCCTCCCGTCCGAGGCAGCAGATTTACACTTCCCCGCGACGCCAGCTCCCCCAAACCGTAATTGGAAGTGGCATTAAGTTCAAGACGAGCTTAGGCCGGGTGAGATTCAGCAGCAGCAGAATGTCATTAAGCCAGTTTTTCACGTGTTCACTTAATTTACCCATTTAACGTGGTACATAATTCAGAAGTACTGAGCCTCTCTGCTGTCAGATACACGCCCTCTGGTCCGACGGATGATTTAGAGCAGCAAGGAGCTGTCCCTGTTTGAGGTCAGCATTCGGGTCCTGACATTAAATATCCCAGATACTCTGTGCTTGGCTGGACTGCTGCTCGCTTTGGGGTTGTTAAAGGAAGCCCTTCAGTTCTGCCCCTTCCCAGCTGACCTCGTTTCGGCCAGAGGTGCGCTGCAAACACCGGATCCCACAGCTCAGCCGTCCCCTGGTGCCGTTTCCTTGAGAGACAGAAGCTCCGAGCTGCCCCCGGGGACCAAAGCGCAGTTATTTTAAACACTTCCTCTCGAGAGCATCTCTGGCAAGACCGTGAGGCTCCCACCTGCGTTCCCCATCAGGCAGGAGCAGTATTATGACCCCTCGAGTTAGGCAAAATAGGAAAACCATACAGAGATTCGTATGCGGTGCAGCTGGGACCTCTCCTTGTGCAGCTTTAAGTTGTGTTTATCCCGGTGCTGTACACACATCTGGATAAAACGCACGCCAGCACGATTAACTCCATAAAGGAAACGTGCTTCCTCCCCCAAAGGCATGTGAGCCTGCCTAGTGCCAACCCCATCGGGAACCCATCCTTCATGGCACAGGTAGGGAGCCCACGCACAACTTCCCTTCCGTGCCTCGAGCATTAGCCCTGCTCCGGGTTTCTCTGCAGAAAGAAGTTCCCCAGATCACTCTGCTCCCACGTATAGCAGTAATCTGAATGCTTTTTTCCAATAAAACACCCTACAAGTAACTGCAGGAGCCGCCCTCAATAAATAGATCAAAGAAGCTGATGCACAACAGCAGCCCTAAGCTGCACCAAGGACACGGCTCCAACAACCGCGGTGATTTCGTTACTAAATAAGAGCAAAATGCTTCAATGTGCAGGACAAGAGCAGTCCCAGCACATTGGATTCAGTCCGTTGCAGAGTGATTCAATCTGAATCACATTTTCTTCGGAGCAAGCGGTCTGAACCCTGCGAGCATCTCGCTTTTGCTGACTGCAGGAAGGAAAAAACCACGAATATGCTTTGTACAGTCCTCACCACAACCACCAGTTCTGCTCTTACACTGCAGCACGGCCTGTGGAGAAGCACCTCTCTTTCAGCATAGAGATCACCATGCAACATCTTCACAAAAAAATTAAGGTTTAACACGTTACTGCTGCTTTAACTTATGTATTTTTCAGTTTCATGAGACGAGATGAGCCAAGCAAATCGAGTGGAAATCACACATTAGCAGGGTTTTGTCAATCACTCGTGCAATAAATGACCACGTGCTCAGCAAGCAAGATGTTCTATTATGTTATTAGCTTTCTAGGCTGTCCAAAGTCAATTCTAGAAAACATAATTAAAACAGCCGGGAAATGAAACCTGCCTTCAGTGGAGACAACCATCCTTGTTAGATCAGAGCTTTAATGGAGGCTGGAAGCTGAAATCTGAGATTTCCTTCAGGGAAAAGAAGGATTCCAAAATCGTTTCCAACCTTCTGGTTCGTTTTAACCCCAAACAATCTACAAAGACCAGTCGGTTTGACCAAAACTATGAAATAAATGCCGCTTGGATTTTCTAATTAAAAGAACGTTTTGAAGAAAAAAAATAAAGTCACCTCTTCTTGTGCAGCTCTCGCAAGCAGACAAACTTATTCCAGCACAGCAGCAGCAGTGCTTATCATGGCATTGTACCAGAAGATGACCAAGCTCAGCGAATTCCCAGGGAAGAAGAGGCTGTTGTTCCCAGCAGCAGCCTGGGGCCGGGATGATGTATGTTCCCCACAAGCTGTACGTTCTATTTTCAGTGCACACTTAGGATTGCGTTTTTATTTTTTAATGGCAGAACGTACTGACTTAGTATCCTCTCTTTCTACAGCACGCCACACCTTGAAACGCCAGGGGACAGGAAAACATGCTTTAAAAATACCTCCCAAATGACAGAGCAGCACAGAAACCCGCGTCTCAGCAATCCATCAAATCCCAGGCCATTAGTTAGCGGGCTTTTACCTACAGAGTAAGTTTTTTCACTTCTAATTCTGTTTCCATCTCCTCGAAACGTAATTACCCGAATTTACATTTTGTTACGTTGATTTTGCAGCTAGCCTTAAAAAAAGAACCAGGCTTGAAGGGCTCTTTATTCAATTGCCCAACGTTTCTTACGCAGTGCTCTTCGTGATCTGCAGCGCTGCAAGAAGCAAAAGCAGCTGAAGTTTTTCCAGCTCTAACAACTACTCATTGTAGCTGGAGCTTGACCCTTGAAAAGAGGTTTTCTGTACAAGAACTTTAGATATCTTGAAGTTTACCCAAACTTACCCTGCTCATGGCTTTCCTAAAGAAGCAGCTACTGTGTAGAAAGTCAAGTTTGCAGTTTCAGTAAAGCTCCCATCCCTATTTTCCACTTTTCACACCCTAACAGCTGGCTGTGTGGTGAGAGTGCACGTGCTCAGCTGCTCTGTTTCAGTGACACGCATTTCAGGATGATGAGAAATGTAAAATACCTGTGGATTTGCCCGTTTTTATGCAGGTAGTCCAGCCCCTCCAGCACCTCCTTGAGGATTGTGGCTATACAGGGTTCATCCAGGACGCCGGTCTTGTGTTCTCCTTTGGCCACGATGTGCTTTATAATATCCAAAACAGAGCCTAGAGAAAATAATGAAACACGTTAGCGTGAACTAGAAGAACTGATTTGCAGCTCAGGGTATTTTATAAGCACTTGGTACCCAAGTTCTTGGAATTTGTTGGGAGGGGAAGCAACAACGGTCAGGATGACAAGTGCCTGAGAGGTTCTTTGAACAAGCTAAAACTTGAAGTGTACACACACAGACCTCTCAGAAGGGCTTTAAGTAGATACTGATGCTACAGCTGGAGGAGCAGGAGGGGGAAATGGAAAAAGCAGGGGGCTGCCAGGACTCACAAGCAGCAGGCAACGAGCTCGATAAAATTAGACTCGTTCTGAGCTCTCATAAACTCAATGCAGAGGAACAGCAAGAAGAAATTAGTATGCTAAGGGACGGCACTGCCCTAAGAAAAAAAAGTGGAAATAATTATACAGAGAACAAACGGGGCTGAATTCTGACAGTGAGTCACTTCTTCACTGCAGACAAAACTGGGATGGCTTAGCCCCTTCCCTAGAAACATCAGCCTTTAGTTTTTCTCCCAGCCGTGGTGTGAATGACATCACCTTGCATGACAAACCACACTTGATAGAGCAACCCACCCCCCGGAGCTGCAGCCAGGAACAAATGGAATCAACGACCAGGAAGATGACTCTTGTGCCAGGTCCCATTTTGATGATATATTGGGTCCTGGGCTCTTTGAGAAGATCATCTTCAGTCTAGATGCACACACAGAGCTTGATTTTATTGCTCCCACAGCTCCAGCACAGGATGTCTCAGTTTGTTTGCCAGGCGTGTGCTAGTTAGCACCTTCAGCCTTGAGTTTATACGGTTCCATCACCGGATAGCCAAGCGCTAGGATCTTTAAAGATCTGGGCACAAAGTCGTGTTAGCAGTACAAGTTCTTAAAGAATGAGGAAAGCAGGCATGACTGCAAGGCACAAATGCAGCCTGGACTGTCTCTGAAAGGAAACACAACACTTCTGCATCTGAAGAGCAGCAAAAGCTGAGAAACTTGGTCGTAGGAATTGGGTTAATGCAGAGATTACAAAGTCCCACCTCGCAAATTCTTGAAGTAAACTGAAAAATACAAGGGGATTTTTTTTTATTTTTTCATTTTTGTCCTTTTCATCCTTTAAGGATGAAGGGATGAGTGTCAGAGCCAACGGAAAGGAAAAGGAGGGTAAGAAAAAGGGAGAATCCATGTGTGAGCAGGGGAGGATGCTGGTAGCCCTCCTGTGCCAGCAGTGAAGCTGCTCTGAGTGCTTGCTGCTCCCCTGACCGGCACCTCCAGCTTCCTCGTCCCCAAAAAAATTCACTTGGCTCATGGGATTTACAAAAGACCTGCTCTGAGCACACACTAACAAAACAGAACATAGATAAATGAAGTAGAGAAGTCCAGTTGCACAACATCCCCTCAATATTTCATGTCAGAATACTCTTCTTCGCCTTCCTTTATCCCGTCCAAGCACAGAACCACTCCTCTTTGGTTAGTTTTGACTTGGGTCTTCATCAGCCAAAGGTTTTACCCAGCCATAATTCAGGCTGTTTCTACATATATAGGTTGTTTCTACAGGTTGTTTCTACCTATATATTTCTTCACATGGAGCTTTTAACACCCCACAAGTCAGGGCACACGCTCCTTCACTGAAATCTCACCTTTTAGGCTGGCTGGCTAAGAAAAGAACTCTCCTGGACACCACGGGGACTCACCTGGGATTCAGCCCATCACAATCCCTATTTTAGAAGTCCGTGCTTGCAAGCCCTGGTGCTCTTATTTTGGGCACGAATTTTTGTGACACCTACGAAAAAAACACCCAACCCCCTCCTCTTCCACTCTTCAGGTTTTCACTCTGAAACGTGCCTTTATCTGGGGAACAAACTGTCGCTTGTGTACAAGTCCAGTGAAAATATGTGGTTCTTCACCTACTCGTTTTGTCCTCCTCCCACCCACAACGCTGTCAGCAGACTTGGTTCAGAAACATTTCCCTTCTCCTGCAAAGGGTCCGGGAACAGGAGGAGGCAGATCAGCTGGTGCTGAAAATCCTTTGGTGGAAAACCCCGCGTTAGCCAAGGTTGTGCTTAGCCCAGAAAAAGGAGTAGGGGCAAGGAGGCTGTCAGCAAAATGCTGAGCTCAGGGAGCAGCAGAAGAGCAAAGAGCCACCTGCCTGGTGAGCAAAGCGTTGTAGGGATCATCCCCATTTTGTTTACACGCGTTAAAAAAAAAGCAGGTTTGCTACCAGCATCACAACACGGTGTTGTATTTCTCCCAAGACACGGATCAGTAGCTGGGGAGGTTGGAGCTGCCTCCAGAATCAAAGGAAACCTTGTAAAAGTTGGCGCAGGGGGATACGAAGAGCGCAGCCAAGCTTCACTTCCACACGCTGCTGAGTGCAGGGTTAGAAACCTCGTGACATTCTGGTTCAGGAAGCTGCTGCGGCGGGACCGAATACCCCCAAAGAGAAAACCACAACTAAATGGGGAGCCCCTCAAAGACAAAGTCACGGGAATCTCACTGCTGAGGAAAACAGCTGCTACTACAAGGCTGGCAGTGTATTTCAGCATCAGCCTGAGATATTCAACTCAGTCATTCCCAAGCATCTCGGCTAAGCGTGCGATTCCCTTGGTGCCACCTCCTTGTTTGCTCAGGCAAATGTTCTCACTTTCCCCAGCGCTGGTTTCTGAGCCAGCTTCCGAACCGGCTTCAAAGAGAAGCTGGGGAAGGAAAAAGCTCACCTGAACTTTGCTGCACCTCTGCTTAAATGCAGTTGCAGTGTGGATTGGTGCTCCCTGTGTGCAGCGGGGTTGAACAATCTGCAAGCAAACAGCTCCCACAATCGAGTGGCCAGAAGAGAAGGTTAACAGCAGAAATAAGGCACACGCTACAGGTATTACAGAACAGCTATCACAACGTTTTTAAGGACAAAAACCCACTAGAATGTCTTTTTTTAAACCTTAAGCTGGGAGAGAAAAGAAGTGAAGGCTGGCTGAGGCTGACTGAAAAGCCATGCCAAGCCCAGAAGGGGAAACACGTCGGGAAAAGACAAAACAAGACTGAGGGAGAGCCAGAAGCGGAGCCGAAATGTAAACACAAACAAGGCTGCCGTTTAATAAGGATGTTTAAAGAAGCCTCGTGATGAGCAACCGATCCCAAACTCCACACAAAGGAAAGGAGAAGATGCTTAGAGATTGATGCGGGAAAAAATGCAGCTATAAACAAGTTCCTGCCTCTCGAGTGCAAGCCGAGCAGCGCGCCGCCAGGAAGCCCACAGGATGCCGTGCAACGTGAGGAAACATTTTGTGTTGTTGCCCGATCGTTTCTGAAGTGCCTCAGCATCGTGCCACCCATCACCAACCCTGGTGTGATCGCAACCCCGTTGTGGCTGCTTAGAAAGCAGACTCCAAGTGCAAATTGAATGGAAGTTGGAAGCGAAGTGGTTTTCTGCTCAAATTGCAAGAACAAATCCCCCCTCGCTGCTCTCCCCCAGGACGGGAAGCTCAGCGAGGGAACAGCTGATGAGGTCTGACTCCCTCCTCAGAAGGCAGTTTCTAATTTCCGGAAGCGAAGGGTTCATTTCCACCCACGACAGCAGTATCTGAGCAACGAAGACACAAGAAACCTGCGAGCAAAGCAGCGTCCTGAATTTACGAGAGGGCAATGTCCTTGTAGAGGAAGATCAGGCAGAGCGTTCCCTGTGTGAGCCCTAATAAACGCGGTCCTGTCCTGCACCCCACACACACACACCCTTTAAAGGCCTGGCACAAACAGGCTGGAAAGCATCCCTGGGGATCACCGGCGTTTCACCACCTGGTTTTGGGAGAATTGAGATGTTCAGCAGCCGTATCCTTTGAGCGCTGGGGTTTGTTGCTGCTGCTTTAAGACCTCTCAGCAGAAGGCAGCGGTTTCGGTGAGCCCGGCTGCCGTCGGAGCCAAGAATGAAACCTGCACCTCGTCAGCCTCTGACAAAGCCAGGAGGAAAACGCTCAAGAAGGAAGCGCAGCCGCCTGCGGCCGGCAGCTCTGGGGCCGATGAGGGCAGAAACAGCAACGGAGCTCAAAAGGAAAGGGAAGAACAAGTTACACAAAGCGAACCAAGACACCCTATGGAGTTTTCTGAGGTTTTCTCATTTTTTGAAGTTTTCGTAATCGTGGTTAAGGCATATCAGAAGGAGAAAGTTAAGGGAACTTCCACTTCTTGCCCCTTTCCCTCTAGAGCTCTTGTGTGGATGCCTGCAAGGGACAACATTAAGGCAGGAAGCAAGATGTTAAAATAAGGGGGCAGGGCAGCCTACTGCGGTTAGGCCTGAGACATTTACAGGCAAAAACCTGAAGAAAATAAAGTAAACAATTTAATTTTTCATGTTTCTCTTACTATAGCTAGGAACGGGGACATATCCATACAAGCTCCGTATCCCATAATCGCATACAGCCCCTCCAGCCTCCTGCCTTCTCCCATCCTTAATGGTTTGAAATTTATTTGTCGAGACACAAATTCAAAGCCCTCCGGAGGGCCTCAGAACGGCGTAGCTCTCTCCTCACAGAATAATTCAGCGTAATCACGAGGATTTCTAAGAACCTGTGGCTTTGGTCTGGCCCCTCCTAATTGCAGCAGCGTGTTATGATCAGAGATTAACGCGGCAGAAGGAGGACGAGATGTCTTGGGTCCCCACCAGGGAGATAGGACCTAGATAATCTTCAACTTTGGGGAAAAAAGGCAAGGTTTAGCTATTCCAATATTCCCATCTCCTTAGCAGATTTAATGAGGAGCCTTCAGGAAGGCAGAAGATCCAAGAGCCCTATCAGGAAACGTGTCAGCGTTTAACAAATTCACCGTTTGAAAATATTTTTGGAGGGCTCCTCTGATTTAGCCTAGGACAGTAAAAGTTGCTGTGCGTTGCAGCAGACGGCTGATTCTTCTGAGCACCTGTTTTGTGGAGTTAGGCACAGCCGAGGGTCACCTGTTAGCTGAGAGCTCTTCAAACCAGGGAGAATGTAGAGGAACAAACCGGTCACAGGCAGAAAAAGCACCAGAACAAAAGGACAGCTGCTCCTCTTCCTCAGAAAAAGCGCCGGGAGGCGGAGAGCAGGACTGGGCATCAGAGAGCTTTAAAAGGCACGAGTGAAATCCGTGAGATGGGAATGTCAGCGAGGCCCAGAGCAGCTCAGCAGCTGTCCAGAAATATCCATCGGGGTTTAGTTTGGAGTAACAGCGGACCAGAAGGCCAGGGTGCCAAGCTGACACCGCTGAGCTTAGCTCCCTGAAAAACGGTTTCATCACCGCAGGGAAGGAGGCTGCGATTTCTGCTGAAGGGAACAAGCAGCAGAGAACTTCCCAGATCTGCCTCAGGCTCACGTTGCCAGAGCTGAAAGAGGGTGTCAGAGGGACGGGGCACACCAGCACCTCTTCTCAGTGCCAACGGAGATAAATAGCTCAGCTTCTGGGACACCTGCTCTCTGGCTTCGTGGGATACCCCCTTTGGAGATGTTTCTGAAATATTTGCCTGTACGGCTAGGTTAAGCTTTCAACAAGCTGACTGTACCCAGAAAATAAATCAAACTGCCCTCAGAACAACAAAAAGAGGCTTGCATCCAGGACTGTTTATCAAAGCAATAACATCCATGTAAGCAAAACTATTTGCAGCCTGAAAATGCACGCCAGCATCGATTGACACTGATGGAAGAGAAGCAGTAAGATCCTGAACTTTTACCCAGAAAAAATCCCAAGTAGGAAACCACAATCAAACAGATTTGATTACGTGCTCACTTGGATGCACAAATCTCAGCCCAGGCTCTATGAATAGTTCGATGGAATAAAAGAGTTAGGCTCCACCTTTTTGTTTTTCCTTCCCCTTTCGGGTTCATAAAAAATAGCCCAAGTTTTTTCCTGTTGAGAAATTCAGCTCATTATTTTTCCCACTGGCTGACAGATGACCACGAAACTCAGCCCGTGTATTACTGATAAGCAGTAAGCCGAAAGGAATGAGAAGCAGTTTTGAAAGCATCTCTCGTGACATAAATCACCCGGCCCAAAAACAACAGGAAGGAGTCTCATTAAAAGTGAATGGGAAAAGCTCTTCAGTCAGAAAGCTCCAAATAAAAAACTTTCTTGTCCCGTCCTAAGGGCTATCCCATAAAACTTGTCTAGGGCATCTAAAATGCCATTTCTGAAGTACAGCCATGCAAAGAGTAGAAGCTGAAAGAGGCTGAGAAACCTCTCTCAAGGTACCTTCCTGCATAAATCCTAACAGGTCACCCTCAAAAGTCTACTTCAGCCATTCCCCCAGCCCCCAAATGTTTTATTTTAAGTGAGAAATCAGCCCGTCTTTTATTGTATGACCCTGGCCTTCCACGTGAGAAACAAAAGGTGAGATTTGGTAGGGCTGCTTTACAGCAGTACTGCATTTAGGGCCAAATGTGCACAGGGGTCAAACCCCCGCTGTATAATGCAGAAGCCTGTTCAAGGTGACTTGTCCTGACAGCCATTTCACACCACCAAGAGGTTGGTGCTGAAGCTCTGGTTATTCCCCAGCAATTTTCCAGTCTGCTCTTTACCTTTCTGGCCCATCTTTTCATTATCAAGGCACCACAGAGTCTGATTTTTTTTTTTTTCCAGCTACACCCAAAAAAAGAAAGACAGAAAAGTGAGGGCAAGCAGAAGCAACGTTTGGAGGATCAAGGATTAGCCTAACCCTGACTTGGTTCCAACAGAAAACCACTACGAAAACGTCGCACATTTTCTTCAAGGAGGCCATGAATCCTCCTGAAAAAGGTCAAGAACGTTGCTGCTGTCTGTCCTGCACCCCTAAAATGTTGGGAAACTTTTCATGTTGGGAAAGCTTTCCCCCATAGACACTTCCTATACCAAAATTATTTGCACTGAATTGGCAAGGGATTCGTTTCTGCACACAACCAGCAATCCTATCCGTAACGACCCGCCTGTTAAGGGTCCCTCCAAGGAAAGACGAGGTATTGCTTAATGACACACGAGCACATGGGTCATTATAAAGCCTTTAAAAAAGGCTCAAGCTAGCATGAAATCCGACCGCCCCCAGGAGAACTGCTGAAGTTTTCTAAAGAAGATCCTGAAAGCTGCCTGTTTTCTGGTCATTAGCGAGCTCTCATGGAAGAAGCCAACAGGTTGAGCCAGATTTTTCCACATCAGCATCTGGCATTTTACAGCCTACGATATTAAGCCAAGAGCAAAGAAGCCAAGAAGGTTTTTTTAAAAAGGCAAGAAAACCATTTTTTCAGCTTTCAATGCCTTTTCACTCTGGTGCCAGGAAAATCAAGCCTTCTCAAGACAGGCCTAAGGCTTAGCAACAGTCCTCAGTTGTCATCCAGAACCCGAATCCCTTTCTTTTCTCGACGGCAACTTAAACATGAAGTCTGGAAAATACTACGACATCAGATTAGGCATTAATGATAGAGAAAATGTAAAAACTTCCTTTCTTTTTCTCAAAAAAGCTGTTTCTACAGCATCTGAGAGAATAAATCCAGGAAGGGGAACGTTTCCCTGGCTCTGGCAGTTTGAAATTGCCCCAAGTACTCGCAGTTATTTTGTCACCCAGAACTAGTGGCAGGTAACCCAGCTCTGAGGAATGAGACTACCCAAATCAAGCTGCTCCTACCCTGATCTTCTCCCTTTGTAGCCCACTGGCATTACAGGGGCAGTTCTGCTGGCAATCCAGGTGATTTAAATTCCTCACAAGGGCAGCCAACGTGTAAATAAGTTAAATCAGTACTCAATGGTTGCCTCCGAGCTCCAGGTGAGAAAAGGTCAGGCCCTCAGCCCTGCAAAAGGAGTTGCAAACATCACTGTCCCCACTGGAAAAGTAGGAACTGGTGGGCTCAGTCACATACTTCTCTAGTCCAAAATTTTATCCTAGGCTTTTGGAGCACAACTAAGAAGCTTTTGTAAATGTGATCCAAGAAACACCATGTCAGATCCATCAGCTGAGAAGATACAGGTTAGATTTTCTTTTTTTTTTTTTGTATTTCTTTTTAAGTTTGGGATGGTTTTGACTACTGCATCTGTACCTGAGTTTCTCCTATCACTGTCTGAAGTCACATCCTCCCAAGTATTCAAGTGAGTCACTCAGCAAACACATACAGAACACCATCAAATATGCAAAGCAGGCACTAAAACAAACTACCAGTCATGCAGTTAGGCATTACTACCGGTGTACATAAAATGAAAAGCTGTTTCTGAGCCAAATGGGTTGAAGTTGAGCATTATCATTCAAGCGTGTTAACTCCCAAGGAGGAGGGAAGCCTGGGAGGGAGACGGGAGCACTCCAGCCAAGTTGTGACGTTGTTTTATAGGGTATGTAAATGGGATCACTCACCTCCACTGAGCAACTTCATCACCAGCCAAAGCTCATCCTTCACCACGAAGGAGGTGTAGTAAGATACGATGTTGGGGTGATGGCACTGACTCATCGCTTGAATTTCTTTCTGCGGAGAAAAACAGAGCATTAGAAGCTGGACTCGAGGGGTTTCGTTCCGTGGGTACAGAAAATAGCTCCCTCGAGACACGGTGTTTGAAGAGGGTGAGAAGGAAAAGGCTACGTGGGAGCTACCCACAGAAAAATCCAGGAATGCTCTTAACACTCAGCCTGCACCATACTAGGGCTCAAAGATATTTTACGATGCTCTACCTGTCTGTCTGCCTGGTCAGCAGAATGCAAGAAGTGACGAAAACCCCCTTGGCAAAGGCAATAAAATGCTCTCCCACCAAGCACCTGCTTCCAGCTGCAGCAGGCTTCTCCTGAAGATTTTACCTACGAGGTTCATGCCGCCACCTCCTCTCAGTGAGCCACTACACACCAGGTGTCACCAGCTGAAGGTATAGAAAGGGAAATATTGGCCTCTGGGAAGGAAAAAAAAGAGTCTCTCATCCCTAATGTCTCTCCCCAGCATGAAAGCAGACGGCTCGGCTCCGAGGGCACAAAGGACAGCTCCAGCTTCTGTTGTAGGGGAAGAAGAGGAAAACAGCCTGAGATCACAAAGTGTTTGGCTGCTACTGATGGAGCGCAACAAGAAGTGCTCTCGGATATGAAATTGCTCGAGTTTTGACCGTGCTTATTCATAGATTTTGTTATGGGTTAAGGGTTGAGGTTTTCCAGAGTACGGGGGAACAATATCCCGGAGAAGAGGCTGAGTTTTCATTATTTAGGTACAAATAACCACCGTGGACAGAAAACCTCCCAGTTTCTTGGTTTCCCCCATCAAAAGCCATCCCTTGGGACTGGCACCCTGCACCCCACAAGGGGAAAAAGGAGAAAAATGTCCCCCCACAGCCCTGCCCTGATCCTTTCCTCCCTAAGCACAAAGCTCCCTGCCACCAAAGCTCCAGGGGAAGCTCTGCCCACGCCTCGTGTTCCTCTCGCCCTGCTCTCGCCGGAGCTGGATGATCTTTAAGGTCCCCTCCAACCCAAGCCATGGGTCTGTGGGGTTAAGGCAGCCCCACAAACACACTCACAGAGATCTCCCCCAATTTACCACTGCTTTTCAAGGAGGAAATGAGGAATTGGTTCCTCTTCCAGCTCCTCCAGGAGCACCTCCAGCTATCCAGGACGCCCCAATAGGCTGATTCTTCTAAACAAGAAGGGATATTTGAAGGGCTGTGGAGTTGCAGGTCACTGATCTCACGCCGTTGACTGAAAACCACTCTGTGAAACTAAATACAGCCTGAAATGAAACCTAGCTTCCAGTTTCTGCCTGGGGACGGAGGAGAAGTGGAGAGGTGGATGAGCACAGGTCGGATTCAGCGACTGCTCTGTGCCGTGGGTCACACATCTCACACAAAACCTGCTTAGGAAGCTGTCTGTAAACGTCCACTGCACGACCTCCCCTTTACGCAGCCTCTCCCAAAGGCAGCTCATTTAAATTCACTTGCTTAACCTGAGATCATTTGGGGTTTAGCTCTGAGAAACAGGCTGAGCCCCTACTTCAGGGATCCACGAACCTGACCCAGCTTTTGTCCTTCCACCTGGAATTAGCTCTTGATGTAAGGCTTTAAATTAATTGTAAAGCTTTTTTTTAAGAAACACGCAAGTAAATCCAGGTGCCTAACCTCTCTCTGACAATTAAAAGATAAATAAAAAGTGCACAAATGGCACCAGAATACAAAAAAAAAGAGGTGGAAAGAAGCAAGTGGGATGCAGCTTTGTGAAGTCTTCCCATCAGGCAGCCCTTCCCCAAAGCCACCATTCTCAGAAAGGCTCCAGAGGAGCTGGTTTTAATCTTTCCTCAGTTAGACCTCAAAATATTTTGAGCTGACTCCCTGGGAGATCAAGCGAATCGTACAAAAAGCCATACGCAAACATTCCCTATTTTCTATCTATTAGCATATCCCGTCGGAATCCAGGAGCCAGCGAGGCAACGTCTGGCCCGAGTTTTTTTTAACAGCCTCGATCTGGCTCGGGTCTCTGCCATCGGGGCAGCTCTTCGCAGGGATCCTGTGTCACTTTATTACTATTTTATTGTTCTCCAAGAATTTCCTCTCCTGCGCGTTACCAAACGCTGCTCCCCGGGCTGGAAACAACAGTTTGAAGGAAAAAAAAAAAAAAAAAAGCTTGCGTTTGTCACGTGCTGCAGCGCACACAGGGGGGTTGCTGTGGTTGCTGTTATTTATTTTCCCTTTTCGCAGCCCTGTGCCAAAACACCGCCAGCTCGGGGCTGTGTCGCAGTGGCGGGTTGAACCATTCCTTGCACAGCTCCGATCAGTAACTCCAGCCCAGCCCACAGCGTCCAGTGCTCCCCCATTATTAAATCCAGGAGGAAAAAGCAAGGTCTGTGCTGCTTTTCCCTGCCACCCCCAGCCTCCTACCCCATTTTATAGTTTTCTAGGCTCGTCTCACAGCGGCTACATCCAAGTTTCCTTCCTCTTTGCTCCCGTGGAGGGTACCAGCATCCTGGAGGCTCGCTGCTTTCAGCTGACGGTGGCAAATCCCAGCAGGCTGGGTGGCTGAAGAATTTCCTTGCCAAGCAGCTCTGTCGCACACCACACTGCCTGAGCTGAGCCATTTTCACCTTCTACTCCTTCCTTATCTGTACAATTCAAACACAGGGGTGAAAATCTGGATTTATTTAGTTGTGCTTCCTACATGAGATGCAGCACGGATGCTGCCTGCTCACACGTGGGTACCTGCAACTTCCCAGGAAGCTGCTGGTTTGGTTATCCTGGCTGAAGGCAACCACAACCCAAAAAAAGATGGGGTTGGGAGGGAAAAATCAAAGCAGGGCAGATGCAATCTCCTTGAAAACACCAAGCGGTGCTCGAGCTGTGGGTGGCAAACACTTGCTTTAAGTGAAACTCCAAGGGTTTAGTTAAAAGAGGGTAAGTTCAAGAATATTAATTTATTTCTGTTTTTAAATATCAGGGTAAAAAAGCTGAATTCTTCTGCTACAATCACCTTAAGAGCAATTACTTGAAGGTGATGAGGAAAAAGCACAGAGCTCAAAATGAGAGATTCCAACCCAGCTGCCATGACCAGTTCAACTCAGGACATGGAGACTGGGACTAAAAAGGGATTCAATTCCCCCATCCAGAACAACAGTGGGAAACGTTGCAGGTACACAACAATCCTGAAAGGAGCAAGAGGTCTTCATAGAGGAATTAACCTTAGGTGATGGGAACAAACGACCCGTGTGAAACGTGCAACGCGGCGCCTCAAATCACCACGCGGAGGCTGTGTTCCACGTGGGACTCCCTGGCACTGACACCTGGGGACTTGTTTTTCCCTTTTGTGATGGCAATTCCTGTAAGATGCCACGGGTGGAACATCTGTCCTGCTCCAGCAGCCCGCTCCTTTGTTCCCACCGACCTTATGGTCGGCTTAATCCACTTGTAGGAGCTGCTGGCAGATCAAAGCCACTTCGATACCCCATCCGAGTCTTCAAAAGAAGGTGTAAAACCCCATAACCAGCGCTTACAGAATCATCTGCCCAGAGGGGAGACTCCTGCCGAAGCCTGGGCAGTTAACAGTTGGCTCAGACGTTAAACCAGGGGAGTTCCTAATCCTGCTTTAAATCCCATCTCATTTAACCTCCTCGACTAGAGGTTGATTTCTTTAATCTCACGCCATGTTTGATCTCCGGATTGCTGGCAGCGAGCTCCCCGGGTCAATCCCCTGAAATTCAAGAGGACATTTCCTCCCGCTGGAGTCCCCTCGGCACCCTGAGACGAATCCGCGGCAGTAACCGAGACATCGCGCAGGGTTTGCAGAGGTTACCCCGACCCACACTGCTTCTGAAGCACTCTAGGGGAAAAAAAAATAAGCATTTTAAGTGCAATTTTCCCTTTTTTTGTGCCACGGGTTGATGGCCAGGCAGTGCTGTAACACAAGAGCATTGATTTAGTGCCTGGGGGACAGAGCGAAGTTTCCCGTAAACTGGTGTGCTCAGCCATCCCCAGAGCACCAGAAGGATAATGGATCTAATGAAAGCCCAAATTCGTGCTTTTAGCAGTGTTAGGGGAGAGGAGAAAGCACGTGGAGAGCATAACATGCTCTAGTATGGACCCGGCTATTTCTCTTTGCACTCACCTCTCAAAACACCGTTCTCTGCAAGGACTCACTCACATTTAGGGGTTTGGGAGAAAAAATCTTGCAACAAGTGGTTGCTCAAAAAAAGGTAATTAACCTGATCTGGGAAACTGCCACAAAGGGAGATGATAGGACTCAAAGCCTTGAGAATACCCTAAAGAAGCAGCAAATGCAGAGGCAAGATTAAAAAATCAAGAATGTAACACACAGGAGGGAGATGAGTTTCCATCCTTTTGGCTCTTGCACTAAGAAACGCCATCCAACAAACTGACAAACTCAGAACAAGCCAAGGGAAAGCATTTTTTCCACAAAACGCACCTGCCTTGGTGACCCCAGGAAGTTCCTGCAGCTCCACAACACCCTTCCTGCCAGCCCTCCATGATTTAAGTCTCCATAACTGCCTTCTAAAGACATTTTCAAAAATCATTACAAGATCAGCTTAAATCTGGATAAATCGGAGCTCAACTGCTACATGTCCTAACGGGAACTTGTCTGGGGAGAAATTTTCCCCAAATTACCCAGAGATTCCTAAATATTGGGCAGTAAGCACTTACTGCGTCTCTTAGATCAGTGGGAGTTTGCTGGGGTATGCAGAAGAGGAGAGCCACTCATCTGAGTGCAAACAAAAGCCTCAGCCTCCTAATGGAGCTGTGTAACAGAATCTTTGGTGTTCTTCAACCTAAAACACGACATCTGAGGAGAGATCAAGTGGTTTTGATTGAAGGGCTGTTTGCCATCAGGTTCTCTTTGCTTTTATACAGCCTCCTGGCTTAATGTCTTGTTATTTTATAGGTTTTTTGCCCAAGGTTGTCAGTTGGAGCCATGTAACCGTGTGCTGCTGGCTATAAGAAGCTACCAGGCAAGTGATCAAGTCTCTTTACTGACTGCAGGTAAAGGAAGAGCTCAAAATCCTGCCCTCACCCCAGGCACTAACAAGCACGATGTCAAGATGTAAACGTCCACCCTTACCAGAGGCCTACAAAGAAGCCTGCAGAAGGAGCCACGCTCTCTGGTCCCAAAATTGGGAACTTGGACCTGGTGAGAGCCATTCAGCACAGTCCTGCCCCTAACAGGAAAAATCACGGTGAGGAAGGGGTCAGCTAGAGACTGAAAACATGCAATTAGTTATCTAAAATGCCATGGTGAGTCTTCGTAGCATCACTTTCTGAACCTAACCCCTTTTAGTTGGAACTGGCAATGATTCAAAGGCCGAAAATCTCAATTAAATCTCCCGACGACTCAGTTGGGTTTACCACCGAGGCACAGCAGCAAGGACGAGCCACAGAAAAGACTTGAAGAGCACCAAGGGATGGCATCGGGACAGAAAGACCGACTGGGAAAAGGGAAGGGAGCCCGAACTCTAACGAGAGCAGCAAAAGGATGTGACCGCAGGACATCTGAAGAGTCCTACACACGGCTCTTCACAGGCGCACTAAAATGTGACAGCTGGAACGGAGCCTTTCCTCTCTACAGGAGTATTTGCTGATACCTACAGTGATAAAAACAGCATTTGTCACTAGATGGGAACTGGAGCCATGGTTTAAGTGACTTGCTGAGGATTAGAGCTGAGCAAAGCTGCCTCTCTCTGTTCTACTTTCTCATTGCGCCTGGGTTAACGTGACAGGAACTGCCAGGATGCAGGCAGAAAGATGGAAAGGGTTAAAAAAGATCCTAGCGAGCTGCTTTAAAAGGAGAGGTGACACAAGACCGCTCCCTGCCTCTCCTCAGACCCTGCCCTCAGTATTTACGTTGGGAAGTTTTATTCCAGACGCCTCTCTCAGTTTCAGGGGGGACACCTCACGTTCAGGGGAATGCCTCCGTGCCTGGCTTCAACCCAGGGGCCTTCCGTATGCAGGGCGAATGTGGCAGCTGCTGCTCCCACACGCAGCAAAGCAGCAAACAAATCCCATCAACATCCGAGCCAGATAACAAAAAGCGAATTTTGGTTTCCATGGCTACCTGCCTGAAGCTGTTTCCCATTGAGAAAAATCTTCAGAGGCGCACATCAGAGGGAAATCACAGAGCTGTAGCTCCAGAGGAGCCCACCTCCTGTCCCCAGCTCGGGATGAGTGAGGGTTTCCACGCAGCCTGCAGCACAGCAGAGCGATCCCTTAGCTGGCATCGGTCCCATACCCAGATTAAGAGCAAGAGCTCGTTTATTCAGGCTCTCTCTGTACAGGTGAAGGATAAAAATGCAAAGAACTGAAGGAACAGGGGAGAAAGCAAAACCACTCCCCGAAATTCTGAAGCTTCTGGAGGCACATAGCTTTTGATCCCCCTCAAACCACAGAGCTCTCGTACAGGCAGCTGAGCTTAACCCTTGCACGTTAACTCCGCTCAAAACAAAGGGATCACACAGAGCGCTCGGCTCCAAACAATACCCTGAAGTTCTCCAACAATTGATCTTTTTAACGTTTTCTTCAGCGCTGTGTCCCACAGCCAGCGGCTGAACTGCCTCTGGTGCAAGCAGCCGGGTTCTCTCCCAGCACCGCGAGGAAGGATGCGAAAAGGTGCTCGGCAAGCAGAGCTGACTGAGATAAAACCCGCGGGGCCATCGCGGCTGCGTACCAGGAGCTCGTCCATGCTGGTCTGACACTTCTCCAGATTGATCCGTTTAATCGCAACCTTCTCCTTCTTCGGAGCACAGAAGGCTGCCTGCACCACTGCAGTCGCTCCGCTCCCTGTAGGGGAAAATAAAAAAAGAGAGAGAAAGGGTTAACATCACCTGATGGGATTTGTGAGGAAAGGAAGGGAAGGCAGACAACAAAAAGTACAAGTGCCAGTCAATAAAGGCAGCAGCGAGGTAAAAACCAAGCAAATCCCACCCCTAAAAACTGTCCCCTTCAGGTCCATGCAGCTCAAGGAGCCGTGGCAAAGAGCTGGGCTCACACAACCCACCACGTGGACCTTCCCGAGGGCTCAGCACAGCCATAAAACAAGCCGGCAGCTCGCTCCTAACAAAGGGCTGATTCTTCCAGCAGGCTTTGAAAAAGGCCGCCGAGGTCACACGGACTTTTAACCTGATGTGTTCGCCCCCAGTGTCGGAACAAGGCACAGCCTCGGCTCCCAGCGCTTAATGAGATTTTTGGCATAGTTTCGTGCCCTAATTGCTCTCCTGGTCTCCCCTCATTGTATGCAGGGGCACGAGGCGAGCTTCATTCAGTTGGGCTCCTGCTCTCCCGTGGCAGCACAACGCCTCGCTTCTCGGGATGTGAAGCAGGCGAAGAAGCTCTGAAGTCAAACCTCTGGGCAAGATCCCGTCCTTCAGGATCAGAGAGCACCCAACTGCTTTTGGACCTGCCTTTATGAGCCTCCAGAAACAGCTGCAGCGTTTGCATCATTTCTATCCCAGGCATAACTCTCAGACCCGTTTGGGTTGATGAGGGAGATGAGAAGACCTACTCAGCATTTTGGCATAAACCACCCCATTCGGGAGCTTCTCAGCACTATAAAACCTCCTGATGCTGCAAGACAGAATCACAGAATCACAGAATTTCTAGGTTGGAAGAGACCTCAAGATCATCGAGTCCAACCTCTGACCTAACGCTAACAGTCCCCACTAAACCATATCCCTCAGCTCTACATCTAAACATCTTTTAAAGACGGGTCAAGCAAAACATTTTTGCAAAGGATCCTTTTCCTACGTGCAGATAAACCGGGGGTGAAAGCTGGCAACCCCCAAACAAAGGGCACTGAAGCTGCCTGCAGCAGCTCTCGGTCACTTTTGCACAAAAGTCACACCAAAACCCATCAAACCCAAGCGCCAGGCAGGGGAAAGAACCTGAAATCCAGCCCTAAAGCATCAAGAAAAACTGCTCCATCCAAAATAAACGACAAAAGCTCCAACTTTGGTACCCAAATCCCACAGGAACCCTCCTGGGCACAGGGTGGGGAGGATTCCCAGCTCGAGGCTCCCCCCGGTCCGATCGCCACCTGCTCTCCCCGCTCCTCCCCCCTTCTCCAGCTCGTTCCTCATTTCTTTCAGCTCCTCTCCGGCGCTTAATTAGAGAGAAACAATGAGATCTCCAAAGCCTACCAGGCGAGGATTAAGCCAGGCTGCAGCAGGACGTGCCACCAGCAAGCTGCTCTTCGGGAGCCGCACAAAGAGGGGAAAGCGTGGAAACCCCAAAGGGCACAGAAAGAGCCACCGGGCCACCGAAGGGTTTGCGGCCCTAAAATTTGTTTAGGAAATCGAAGGGGGGAAGAAGCGAAACTGCAGTAAGGTTGTGAATGGGAACAAGCAGGGATGCAGAGGATGCCGACAGAGGGGAGGAGGAAAATGCCTGGCAAGGAAGTTTCTGCGAGTTTTGGGGGCAGGTAACAAGCATGTGGGGGAAGGAGGGAGGAGAAGCGGTTCCCCACCTGCTGGGTGGATAAAGAAACCCTACAAAGGCAGTGTTATAGGGTGGCACAGCTTGGGCAAAGCAACTCTCCCTGCAGATGCTGCCTGAAAGGCACTAGGTCAGGGGAAAGGAGAAGGAGAGAAAGGGAAGAGACCCCGAGGGGTTTTAGGGTTTGTTTAATGCCCCCTGCTTCTGCCCCCATAGGCTCTCGGCTCCAGTCCCAAGCCCTGGGGTAGCAGCTGCCAAATTCTTCCCGGAGAGGGTCACGACCTGCTTTAGGAAGCGCTGCGAGGGAGGAAGGCGTGCCCTTCCCAGCCCTTCTCATGTTTCTGGGATGAAAGGGTGCTTTGGGAACTAACCCCAACTTCTGACGGAATGAAAACAACCCAAACCTCCCGAGGATCGCCGCTGAACCCCCGTTTCCCCGGGCCAGACATCTCAGGGCCCGTGCTCGAGCCCAAATTCTCCTTTAGGATTGCTCAGATCCACCTCCAGCCTTCGAGCCCAAAGCCTCGGATGATTTAGGGGTCTTCACAGCTGCCAACGCCAGCCCAGGAGCTGCAACCACATCTCTGGATGTTTCCTCACGCCAAGCTCTGAAGCCACCTCCCCACTGCAGAAGGGATGATCTAACCCTTCTGAAGGGGAAATTCAGCTGGTTTTGGTCTGTGCCTGCTTGGAAAGCCCATGAGGCCCTAAGGCAGCAACCCACGGCTAAGAGATAACCAAAAAAAAACCCTACAAAAGCCCCGGAGCAAGGGGAGCTCCTCTCTCACAGCCCCGCAGGGACTCAGTGAGCCCTCCTGCACCAGGGGAAAGGGGTCAAGTAGGAGGAAAGAAACAAATAATCCAGAGAAAGGAAGAAATAAATCATCTATAAATCATCTGTCGTAGCACAGAAGCTTAAGGAAAATGAACAGACAACAGCGGATTTAACACAACCGTTGTGAGGGAGCCAATTTTAGGGTTTGTATTGGGGGATGGAGGAAAACCAGCAAGCCCCAGGGATTATATATATTTATACGTATATCCCAGCACGTTATATAGAGTGAGATACACGTATATCTATCCAACAGCATTCACCTACGAAGGATTTCCCTCCAAAACACAACTCCACGTTTTCCCAAAGCTCGAGGCTCTCCCCTTCGTCGCTCCCCATGGGTACCTGCAGCAGGCAGCTCACCCCCCAGCACTAACCCTGCCCAAAGAACTCCACAAAACGAGAAGCAGGTTCCCCAAACCCGCCTGTAACACAAAAAACAGCCCAAATATCAGAACGGGGTGCAAAGGTGCTGCCTACAAACCCCTCACCGAGCCCCTCTGCTCCTCGATTCCACCACTGAGCACACAAAAAAAAAAAAAGCCAGGCACCACGAGGAGCCCAGGCCATTTGGGGAACCACCTCAGGCCCCTTTCCCCAGCCCAGCAACTCCAGGCAGCCCCTAGGGTGGGTTGCACAAACCCTGCATGACCCACAGCATTTATTTAGGGTGCTGTCAGCAGGCTGAGCTCAGATTTGCCGTTTCAGACCAATTAGATTTATTTGATCAGGTGGCAGCATCTCTGGGCAATTTAACGGGCAGGCAGAGCAGGACTGAGCCATCCCACTGCCAAACACAGCCCGCAGCGGTCCCACGGAGCCTGGCTGTAAAGGAAGCAGCAGGAGACAGATTTCACTTCGCAGGCAAGGTGTTCACCCCGCGATGAGAAGCTTCATCTTGAATTCACGAGGTTTCAGCCATCAGGAGAGCCCAACGTCCTGCTGCCTGCCTGGAGCTGGAGACACCTGAAATGAGGAGCGCTGCTACCTGCCCCACTCACCTCAGCGGGTCCCAGCTGGTTTTCTTTAAGAAGAATATTCTGCAGGTGCTCTCCCTCTTCAAACTTCCCTTTTCTACTACTCTCCACACCATGTTCAGAATTCCCTCCTCAGAGAGCTGGAATTAACCCTGGATCCCACAAAGATGGATTTACAATCCACCGAAGGCCAAAAATGAGCACGAGCCTTAAACCTGACCTGGGACAAAAGGTAACCCAAAGTTTCCCACGCGGGCAGAGGCCACCCCAGCTCTCCACGCTCCCATCTCCCCAGCAGATTCCTCGCTGAGGTTCCCAAGGGCCAAGATGCACCCGCAGCATTCAGTTCCCCCTCCTCTTAAAAAAAACACAGCAGCTCTTGACACAAAACGGATGAAAAACGAAGGTTGGCGAGGAACAAAAATCTTCCCAGGAGCTTCTCTGTACCCAGCAGAAAGGCGTTTTGATTTGGCCAAGCCGTGAGGTGCTCCCTGTGCTGCTCCACAAGCACGCAGGATAAAACTTTAATGGACATACAGAGGGAAGCTCCAGCTAATTTGGTGAGAAAGTGAATCAGCGCTCTGGCTTTCCTCTGATTTCACTCGCAGATGGGATTTGTGAGGCTTTTAGGGCTTGCTGAAGACCCCTGAAGACCTGAAGAGGTCTAAAAAACCCTTGCAAGGCGAGTTAGACCCTGGTTTGGTAGAGGTCGATGCGTAACCAAGTGTTTTTTTTTTTTTCAGTGTGGAATTTCTCTTGCTTGCACACCAAAAAAAAAAAAATCTGTTCAGCAAAAAAGTCTGCGCGCGGTGACTCACATCAGGAAACAATGATCCTCGAGAACCTTGGGGAGTGGTGCAAGAAACAGCTCCAAAAAAATGTTGCTGGATGTCGTAGCTATTGTGTACAGGGGGAAAAAATACGGGATCCTTTTGTTTTATGCTTCGTATCACCGCAGATCCCCACCTGCCTGCATTACCTGGGTAGGAACAAGGGATACGAAGCCCGGGTTGGCTGACCCGAGAACCCCATTAGCAGTGTTTGACTTCATCCATCAGAGTGCCGCGTCTCTCCCACTGAAGTGTGACCCCATAAAGACCCCGCAGCGGGTCTGAGCCGTGCCTCCAGGCCTTCCCCTGCCTCCAGGCAAGACGCTGGGAGCTCCGTTCACCAGAAACATCCCCTCTGTGCTCCTCGAGGTGAAGTCCCAGGAAGCCAGGCTCCATCATCACATCTCCACTCAGCAGGACGGCAGGCAAGACTCACCTGAAAGGCGCAGGATCCCAATATTTTGGGGATTTTGTAACACTGGATTCCAGGGCTTGGCAGCAAAGCTCTCTGACGAGCACCCCGTTAGCACGTCCATGGCTGAATTCGCTGCTGCGGAGATTTCCGACAGGTATCATCCATGTGAAGGGAAATCTTCCAAGATAATTTGCCCCAAAACCTAGTGTTTTAAGTAATTTGCTCACTCAATTAGCACCCAGCGCCGCTGCCCGCTGCCCGTCAGGAGAAGAGATTTTCTCTCCAGCCACCAGCTTGGCGGGCCCGGTTTGCCGGCTCTTAGCAAGATTTTTGGGTTAAAGCGAAGCTGTTTAAATGTTTTTTGGGTGTTGAACATTTGAATTGGTGCTAGAAGCAACTGCCACACGGAAAGCAGCCCCGGGGAAGTGTGAATTGCTGCCACGTGCAACACCCTGTATGGGTTTTTTTCCCCTTAATGTCCCAGAAGAGCTGAGAACAGCAGGGAGGTTGCCACACTGCTTCCCTAATACCACGTGCTCCTTGCAGGCAGCCTCCTGCACCCACATTTGTCATTTTTGGTCCTTTTTCTGGCCTCCGCCTGCTTCCCAGGGTGTTGTATCCCCCCGTGGGATCCGCGAGCACGCAGCAGAGGCAGCACACGGGGCGCACACAGCTCCTGCTTTCGCTTCCCAGGGGAGTGCCGCAGCTCAGCCGGTATCAAAGGTCTCGGAGGAAGGAGAGGTGCCAAGGAGGGGAAGGGAAGGCGGGGGGGGGGATGCCCAGAATTGATTTTATGTCAGCTTTAACTTAATACAGAACGAAAAAAAAGGCTTCTCCACCAGCTTTAAGTGGAAGAAGTTGACGACGAGCACATGGAGCCAGCATCTCGGTGACTTCACCCCCCTGAACGTGCCGCAGGAACCCATTTGTCTGGCCAGGCTCGGGGAGGAGGAGTGGGAAGCCACGAGGAAACGCTAAACCAAAACAGATGGCATGCAGACCGAAGCCTGAGCGCTCAGTTTAGCTTGCAGGCAGTTGTGTTTTACAGACAGCTCCACATTTTCTTGAATGGGTGTAAAGCAGGCGTCAGTGAGGGAGGCAGCTCCCGAGCACCAGAAGACCACGGGTACGTTGGTAAAATCTCCACTTCCCCAAATTTTACCTCTACATACCTGTAAAAGAAAGCTGCTCCTACGTGTGTGCTCACCTGTACTGCTTGGGGAAACCCCGGCTGGAAAACTAAACCTTAAATTGAGCTCACAGACAAAAGCCAACTACAGCCATTAAAAAAAAAATCTAATTATTTAGCGAGTCCTTGCTTCAAATTTTTCAATTTCAGCTGGATTTCTGCGGGGAGAAGCAGCTCCCACATCTGCTCACTCAGCCTGCGCAGGAATCTGTCGGGGGAGAAAGGGCGCAGGAATGGAGCAAGGGAGATTCCCCCCTCGATCCTTTATCTCCTGCTTCCAGCTCTCTTTCAGCCTTTTTGGAAGCTGAAGGCCGGCTCTGATCCTGGGCACCGGGAGGGATTGAAGCCTCGGGAGGCCACTCGGCAGCTGCTCCCCACCACCAAGGGGGCAGAACAACCACGGCCGTTAATCCATACCTCTGTAACGGCGTGAGTCACCTCTGCTGCTGAGCAATAAGGTGATTTTTTTCTTGGTATCAGCCCGAATGAGGAGGGCAGGTTTGCAGGAGTTCCCTCTGCAGCTAGGAAACGTGCTCCTTTATTCACACACCGCGCAGCGCGGGGCCCTCTGCGCTACAGGACAGCCCCACGGCGCTGTTTTCAGGCAGAACGAACCCAAATTAAGGAATTTAACTGCACGTGGATTGCTTTTTTTTTTTCCTGATGTGGGAAAAAGCCTGAGCTGGTAACCCCCTGAACACTGTGCTCTCAGCTTCAGGAGACATTGCTCACCAGGAAACAAGTGAAATCCTTTAAAAGCACCGGCGCGAGGTTCGGCCCTTCCCACGCCGGGTCCTCCCTTTGTTCCCTGCCGAAATACTTTTACGGCTCTGCAGGAGTGAAGGGAGCTCAGAAACCTCCCCCCGAGGCTTCCAGGGGCCGCGGAGCAGCCCAGCTCGGTGACATTTTGTCCCACAAATCGCAGCCGTGCTGGGAAGCTGGCGTCACATCTCCATCCAGGCCGCTGGCAGGCACGGCGATGTTTGAAGTGAGTGAAAGGGGGGGAGGAGAGGCGGGGATGGCGGAGTTAAAAAGAGAAACCAGATGTCTGCAATCCACACGGCGCGCCCCAGCGGGGCAGCACGAGCCTTCAGCGAGGGGATGACATCCCAAAAGTCACCCCACAGGACAGGGGAAGGGACAAAACACTCCTGCCCAAGCTCGGGGCACGACCGCGGGGGCTGTGAGCGCTACGTCCTCCTCATAACGGTGTGGGGCTGTAGGATGGGTGTTTTGGGCTGTAAAATGTGAGTTTCGGGGCTGTAGGATTTGCATTTTGGGGCTGTAGGATGTGCTTTTCCTGCAGCGAGTATCCTAGGAGCAGAAGGGCATCTGTACCCCTTTTTTTTCCTGTCCCACTCGGGGCTGAGCTACAAAGAGGCAGCTCAGCTCACCCAGCCTCACACACCAAACCCCAAATCCCCTCTTTGTGCGATCAGAGCACCCTTTATGCCATTTTGATGCATCCTACATGCAGGGACCGGTCCCTTTCCTGGGGATCTGGGAGCCTGGCGTTGTATCACCCCCCTCCTGTGGGGGAAAAGCCACGCTAAAAATTAACCTCTTGCCTAGGAGCCAGGAGAGCAGCAGGAGAGGCACCGACTTCACGCTCACCTGTGGCACCACCTCGGCCGGGTCACATCCCGGCCCTAAAGCCGTTTATCCCTCAAACAACCCCCTAATTAAGCAGTTGGGGCAGGCGGGGTGGGGGCCTCTGGTAACCAGAAGTGAAAAGAGAGCAGGAAAAAAAGAAAAAAAAAGAAATGATTTAATGGAGAGCAAGGGCTGGGGCCTCGAGACAAGAGGACAATGAATGGAAAGGCAGAGCGGCAGCACAACGAGGCTGGATGGTGGCAGCACAAAAATCCCACCCCACATCCCCGGATGGGACCACGGGGTTGGGGGGGGGGAAGGAGGCGTCCCCCAAAATGAACGGGGCTGCTCGGGAAGGGGAAATGTGGAGTTTCCTTCCAAGGAAGCCCTCAGGAAGGATGTGGGCAGGAGATGGGGGGGAGGGAACACCCCCTTCACAGCCACATGCGGGGAAGTGGGGCATGGGATGTGCCCGGTGTCCCCAAAAGGGGTGTGGTGAGCCCGCAGGGCACCCCCTGACCCCAAATTCACATTGTGGGGAACCAGGAGGGGGTGCAGACCCCCAAAAAGACCCTCCTCATACGGCAATGAGGGGCAAACCCCATAGACCACATCTCCCTTACAGGAGGGGACATCCTCAGGAAGGAAACAGGGTGCCCAGGCACCCCAACAACAACACGGAGCCCTCAGAAATAGGGGTTTCAGCCCCCCCCTTCTCCCCCCCAAAAATTAGGGGAAGGGGGCAGCTCCCCCCTCAAAATTAGGGGCTGGGGGCAGCCCCCCTCACACACACGACCCCAAAAATTAGGGGAAGGGGGCAGCTCCCCCCCTACAACCCCTCAGAAGCAGCGGGGGGCACCTCCCCCTCACACACATCCCCCAAAAATTTAGGGGGCGGCTCCCCCTCACCCCAAAATCGTGGCGAATCCCCAAAAAAAACCCCGGGGGGCGCCTCCCCAGCCTGAGAGAGAACCGCGAGCCCCCCCAATTACCTCATCGCGCCCCCCCCTTCACCCCCGGGGACCTTCAGCCCCAGAATTTCACCTCAGCCCCCCCAAAATTTGGCCCAAAATCCTCACCGATGACCTCCTGCAGCTCGTAATCATCCTTGTTGATGGACCAGGGCAGCGCGCTGGGCTCCTCCGCCATGGCTGCGGTCCCCAAAGCTGAGGGGGGGGACCCCTGAGGTACCGAGGGGGGGGAGGACCCTGAGGTACCGGGGGACCCCTGAGGAGCGGCCGCGGCCCCGAGCCCGGCCCCGCCGCCGCCGCCGCCTCCCGTCAGCGCCTGCCAAACTTTGGCTGCTCCCTCCACCTGCCCATGCCCAGAGCGCCCTGACGTCAACCGCCGCCACGTTCGCCTCGTCGTCGGGGGGGGTGGCGGTGGCGAGGCGGCGGCGCCATCTTGAGCGCGGCGCTTTTCCACCTCCTTTGGTTAATTCAGGATACAAAGGGATCCTCCGCGGCTCGCTCCGCCCTGATTATTTCGGAGACGGACTCCTCGTGCAAAAAACTGCGTAAAAAGTGGTATCAAAGTGTGGGAAATAGATGGAAAGGGAGGGTGGGGATGCCACACACAAGATGGCGGCCGCCCGCGCCTTCCCCCTCCGCCCTCAGAGAAAAAGCGGGAGGATCACGCTTTTCTGAGCAGCGATTGGCTGCCGGCCGCGCAACCCGCGGTTCCTATTGGTGGACGGGGTTGTCAATCATGACCCGTCCTTCTGCAGGGTCCCTGCGCCCGTGGGGCCTTGGGGTGGTTGGGGAAGCCCTGAGGGGAGGAAGCGCTGTGGGGGTGCCCCGGGTACCCCGTGTGTAGGGTCAGAAACCCTTCAGGGAGGGTTTTTAACACGTTGTTAATCCCCTTTCACACAATAACAGAACCATTAAGGCTGGAAAAGTCCTTCAAGATCACCTGTTCCAACCATCCCCCTACCACCAATGTCACCACTAAGCCATGTCCCCAAGCACCACGTCCAACCTCTCCTTGAACACCCCCAGGGACGGTGACACCACCACCTCCCTGGGCAACCCGTCCCAATGCCTGACTGCTCTTTCTGAGCAGAAATGTCTCCTCATTTCCAACCTGAACCTCCCCTGGCACAACCTGAGGCCATTCAACCCCAACATTGAGGGTTTCCTGAGGGAGCAGAGCGCCATTTCAGCCCCGAGGCTGCGTGCAGCGGGCCCCATGCCTCCCTTTCATCCCCACCCTGGCTTCGGGATCCACATTCCTTGATTAAAAATAGGGCCAGGGGTATGAAGGGGTCGGGAGGTCGGGTTTTCCCCTCCACGTCTCCAAAGACGAGCAATTCTAAGGTTTCCCAGCTGACAGGTGTTCCTGCACGCTCCACCGAATTTCAATATTCGGTGACCAATCCAACACCCTCGCCTTGTAGATGATGGCTCAAAAGTCCGTAGCTGAAGCACTGAAGATCTCAATACATGAAGTGTTAAAAAAAATAAAAATTAAAAGAATGAGGAATATGGGACTAGCCGGTACCATGAACCCACGTAGGCCGCTGTCTACATATTTAAGTTTAAAGTGTTTACGGTTTGGTGATTTATTCTTTACTGACATAAAACAGATAAAAAAACTGCATCTCTTGCTATTGCCAGGCATAGTAGTGTTCATCAGGAGAATCTGGCAAGATTTGGGATTTCTGTGTCAGGTTTCATTGTTCTTTTGCCAGTTCCTATAGCTTGACAGGAGATGCTACCGTGAGGCAAAGAACATCAGCTATACATATTTGTAGCTTATTAGGACAAATTCCTGAGATGCCTCTGATGAACCAGGCTTTGTAGAGGGCCACAGCACCCTGCCAAATGTGTGGTGTGACTCCAGGATTCTCACTCCTGCTACCTAGCACAGGACAGCATCTCCTTCTTCCCAGTCATTTTCTGTCTTACAGATGCAAGAGGCCAAGGGCCCACCTCAGTGCAGTTTACAGACGCTGAACAAAGATGGTCTCTGTCCATAAGGCAGAGCTTTCAGCTCAAAAGCTGTTCGTTTTTCCTAGTTGTCTGCGTTAAACGTGCCTCTGCCAAGCAATATTGCCTATTTGCTAAATATGCTTTAATTACTGCTTGGAACCGTCTCTCTGATCTTTTAACTATGCTATAAAAGCAGTTTTTTGTAGCAATTAGAAGTAGGTTTATACCCCAGAGCATGCGCTCAGGTGGCCAGTGTCATGTGTCTGATAGTAACAGCATGGTAAAAAGGGATCTGAGCCAGGCATCAGCAGCAAAAAAAAGACGGAGGCCCTGATCCTGAAAGTATTTAAGCACGTACTTTAAGCCTTTCTAACCACAGTGATGCATATGCCTAATTTTACCACAGTGTTTATTTAGAGCCGGAATCGTATTTTGAATTCTCTTGGTTGAGGTAGAAGAATCGCCGCCTGAAGGCAGCGCGAGAGCTCCTATTGAATTAGGTCAATGGGACAGGATTAGGCCCACAATGAACCCCGTTCGTTGTGAATTAGCACGGGCTTTGATCAAAATTAAAACCTGAAATGTGAACTGACGAGACCACCAGTGGCCACATGAACATACGCGAGTGAATGGGGGATTTTCACTCTTCGGGTCTGCAGTGAAATACGCACTTCTGTATTTTTAAACCCAAATCTCTCACTCATGTAAAATCTGGATCCCATGGATTTTGTAATATTTTTTTAAATGACCATTAAGTGAAATTTTAAATGAACACTTTGGATCCCTCAAAAGTCAGACGTTGCTGTCGCATTCATTCACTCACTCATTCATTCATTCAGCGGGTTGTGTCAATGGCAGTCTGGTGAAGGGTGAAAAAAGGGATCTGTCTTTCACAAAGATCTTAATCCTTAGCCCACTTTGCACCTTCAAGCAGCACCTTCTCCTGTTTCACCATTAATATCCTGCTCATCCTACTTTTCCCGATTTGCTCTATTTTGTCTGTCTCGTGTAGGTTGTAAGCTCTTCAGGGCAGAGGAAACGGCTCTATTTATAAACCAGCCTGTGAAGTGGTGCTGCTGAATCAAGTGGTTTGTTGCAATAACAAGACATTTTAGTAGAAATCTGAAGTGGAAAAACAGTTTCCTGTGTATCCACCTCCAGGCTTTAGGAGAGACCGAGAAGTGGAAAAACTCCAGATTTCTTTCAGGTGGGAAGGCTGCAGGCCAAGGGAAGCTCTCACACCTGGGCTTCCCATACTTTCTGAGTTAAACTAAAATAAAACATTGCAGTGATTAGCACGGGCAGGCCCCACCTCCCATTGATTTTGCTGCTCAAAAGGGCTTCCTTCTGACACCCGGGGCACATGTTCCCCATCGATGTGCCCCGAGCCTCTGCAGGGAGCGAGAAGGGGCAGGCACACACACGCATGCACCAAATGCTCTCATTCTCGTAAGGCACATGGTTTCCTGCCTTTGTGAGCCAATTACTGTTCCAATTAAACTTACTGGCACTACCCAGCCCTCTGCCTTTTTTTTTTTTTTTTTTTTTCCATTCAGGTAATGTTGGCTATCATAAAAGTGATGTTGAACGGATAGAGTGGCGGTTCTGATACTCAGTGCGCAGAAGTTACTGCCTCTAGTACCTGTAAAACCTGCGCTGGCTGGTAACACATTTTATCCTCGTCATAAGGGCAACCGTAAATAAACCTCATTTACACGTGGATTACAGAAAACGAGTCTGAACTTGTTCCCTTATCAAGCCATGGCAGATTTCATCTTACCACTCATGCAGCCTCTCAAATAGCTTCTTTGCTCCTTGGTACGGCTGAACTTGCAGCCTCTCTTTCAGAGCAGCCGTGCAGAGGCATTTAGTGGCACAGTTCAGCAGTGTTTCAGGCCACGGCATTTACTGCCACATTTCTAGTTCAAAGCTTTTTAAGGCATCATAAACCGCTGCTTGTAAGTGACTGCGCATTAGCTGCCACCAGTCCTACAAACAATGGCAGTGAATGTGCTTATTGCACTGCTTGGTACGGGCCCGGGCTGCTAAAGCAAGAGGCAGCCCCACAAAGCCTGTGTGAGTGCATTCACAGCAGCACAAGTGTGCAGCGGCAAGCAGAATGCCCGACCTTGTTTCCCTGCAAAACTTGCCTGCTGGTCTTTCTTCGTGGAAATACTTCCAGGTTTATTGAGGGAATCTTACTCTATCCAATAACAGCTGGTTATTTAGTAAAAAACGAGGTGGTTTGCTCTCTAGGCAGCAAAGGCAGGCGTGCACATTGTCTCCAGGTATTTTTCACGGCATTTTTTGCCCAGGATCGTGCAGTGGAGTAAGGAGGAGTGGTTTAAAACCCTCTGACTGGAGAAAGTCTTTCATAGTGGTTGTTTTCAAAACACCAGTGCCAGTCTAAACCTCACAGACAGGTTTTCCTAAATGCTTCTGTGTAGCACCTCCGCCCCACCGCTCAGTGCCGGTGTGTAGGGCATTTAAACTCACCTTCAGGGTCACTTTGAAGTCAAGTAGCTGAAGGCCCGGTTCTAGCAGGTGGATTCTGGCTCTTACAGCGTGTGCACTGAAACCAGATTTCGCTCAGCAAACACACTGCTGGTCCCATCCCACTGCCTCTCTGCAGAAATGCTGCACTGTTCTCTCCCTTCCTCCCCCCAAAATCCCCAGATTTTAAGCACTAGGAAACAAGCAAAGAGCGTGTGAACAAGACATTTTTGTTCTTCTTACTCTTTTTTCAACGTTTATGCTTTTTTTTTTTAAGTATACAAATTGAAAGCCAATTAACCTTGTCTCTAACAAATTATAGCTTTGCCGTCTCTTTTAAATCTAATACAAAATTGATGCTAGGTTTAAGAAATAATTATGACAAGATCTTGATTGCCACATACCTGAACCACAGTTTAATAATCAGTTCTTGCCTTCTTCTGGCTAACAACAATGCTGTGTGTTTAAAGAAGCTGCTGAAAGACATTTCTCTTACTTGTGCTTCTTTAAACTCCAGGAATCCAGCTGTCTCCTTGGAACAGCTCATCGGGGCAGAATGGTTTTCCCACCGGCCGTTTCTGTGGAGGCTAGATCAGGAAGCATTTGCTAAACGGCTGAGCAGGACAGGGGGAATAAGGATGTGTTTCAGAGCTTTTCTCTTCTTCATTAAAAGTGCAACACAAGCAAGCATCCAAACCCTGCTGCACCAGCAGGTGCACCTGGACGGGCTCCTCTTTTGTAGGTTATGAAGAGAGGCCAAAGATTGTTGGCTCTGTTACATCAAGCATCGTGAGTGTGCCTCTATTTAAGGCCATTTCAGGCATTTTATTATTCAGCAAAACTCTTCAATCAAAATCCATATATAACTCCTAACAGAATTCAGCTTAATAATGCCAGGTTGCCTCCTTGCTGTTTGGTGTTGCAGCAA